TTGCCCTCGATTTGTAGGATTCGTTTTATTCAACCAGCATTTAGTTGCCCTACGTTTACGTCGCACTCATGGTCTCCTCAATCAGAGCTTGTGTACCAAGGATTTTATCAAGGATCTTGACTAAAAGAGGGACATCATAAGTATGGACGTCTCCTTCCACGCTACGTGCTGAGCTCTTATAAAACACACACTTAACATTTGCTCCTCTCCGACCTGCCTCACCATCAACTTTACTTTCAAGAACCTCATAAAGTACAACAATAATCATTTTTTTGCTAATAATCTGTTACTACATTCCGGTTGTTTTATGCCAGTCTCGCGTACAAACGTCTCTTTTTTTGGTAAGGATGTGAATGGGAAAATCACAATATGTAAGGATTTAGATACCCAAAAATGATTTTAGGAAAGTACTACACTTCTCACTTGAATGAAGAAAGTTTGACTTTGAGTTTTGACTAGGTTGTGAAAAGACCTCGACCTACCATCGTGCCAAGCACTCATTTGTTGTCTGACTGTCATTGTCAAAGCCAAAAACCATCATTTGCGAAGATTTCACCCCAATAAGAAATCAACAAATACAGCTTATTAAAATCTAACTTACTTTTCAGGTATAATTTTGCGATTTTAATTGGGCATCTAGTGCCTTGGTTGATTATTTTATGTTTACTTTAAAGGTCTGCGGATGAATGAATGATGCATGCAAAAAAAAAGTGGCCATAATTATTTCCTTATAATTATAAACTAGTGCTTGATCCTGTAATGCTAACGAATGCTTTAGGTTCGTGGATGTATTCCTTCGCTTATTTGGTGGCCCGTCATGCTCTCTGCCTCTCCACAATTCAGCTTAATGGCCAAAAGTTCGTAATTAATTTCCTACCCCCTCCCTACCTATTAGTAATGTTGCTTGCATTTTAAAAACTTATATCGACTTAGCCGTGAAATCACATTCAGTTCCTTATTCTTCGAAACCAAGCTTTTGTTAATAATATCATATAAATTGAGTTCAATGAACAAAATAACTTACGTATTTCATATCGAAGACACTCAATCCCCCATGGCTGGGCTGCCTTGCCAATAGACATAACTATGGCTGAATTCAAAGCCTCGCGCTCTTTAAATACATTGTCAAGAGAGATCCTTCCTATTTCAGACCTCATATTCGTTTGGGCAAGCTAAAACATCGATGAATGGCATTTAAATTTTAAAAATGCAAGTTATTATGATCGTGCAAAATATGTCAAGTGATATATCTCTGGGACGCAAAATGAGGGATAATAATTTCATGCAGAATATGGAGAATATATTTGATATCAAATGACTTTTTCTGAAAATAATGGGTTTATCTAATGATTGAATTGGTTTCAATTCATCAACAAGCATTTTATCGTTATTATTATTATATGAAATGTTCATATGAGCCAATCCTTTGATGTAAACAAATCAAAAAATCAAATGGATGAAATGCACTAACCAGAGCCAAACAAGCTCTTGCCATTTTATATGGTTGTAATATTATTATGCATTTATGGTAAAAATAAAAGCATGTGAACAAGTAAGAGTATAAAAGTGCACTGCTTTGGTTCACTTTTAAAAGCTTTCATTACTAAATTTAAA